GTGGCCGTTGCCGTTGGCAAAGGCTTAGAACGCCCGAAGTGTATGACTTGCAATATGTTGCTTTCGTTGCGCCTGCGCCCAGTCGTAGCTTGTGCGAGGTTGTGCGTGGTTTTGCTGCGCGGGGGGTAGGCTTCTATCCTTTTTTTCTTCTTTTTTTTGAGGGGTTTTTGGTGTGTTTTTTGTTGTTGGCGGGTGAAGAGTAGGCGTCGAAGGCCCTCATTAGGTGTTGCCCGAGGGTTCCCAAAGGGGCCCGCAAGTTTGGGAATCCGTTTGCGTGAAGAGTTTTCCGCGGTCGTCTGCCTGTTTCATCCTGCAAACCCCATGAAATATCAGCGAGTGAAGTGTCTGTGGAAATTGGCGGCAAAGAGGACGTCTCTTGATGAGTGTGCCCTTCTCAAACCGATCTTGTTGGTTTCGCGCCCAAATCTCGACGCGTGATTGTTTGCGGGCGCAGACCCACGGGATTCTTGGAGGGGCAAGGGGCTGCTTCTGCACAGGCGAGGCTGTTGGACATCCGGCTGCAGGCGAGGCGAATCGATCGGGTTGCGGTGCTGCTTGAGGTGTCTTTGCTGATTTCGCATGGCCTGGGTTTGCTTGTTTACCTAGATGAAGGATTAGTGGCACGTCAGATTTGATTTGGCAGACAGGTTCGAACTTGGCATACCGTTCAATGCCGAGTTTGGAAGGGCCAAGCCAACCTTTCGGAATTCGGGCGGTTGTGTCAAAGGAAAGCTGACGCAACCGGCGCCGTTTTGCGAGTCACCCTCTTGGATCTGCCGCGTTCGAGCGGCAAACCCATACATGACGTGGTAAAGCTATGCATGCACCCCAAAACGATGGGAAGATTCGGATCCTCTCAAGTTTTGTGCTGGCGATGATTGTTCTTAAAAAAAAATGAAAGAAACACAAACACGCACAAAAAATATGCAACAACTGAGAACCTCTTCAAAAGGTGATCTCCACCCAAGGGTCCCAGTTGCCCCACTCCTTGGCATCCAGAAAGGCCAGCGAGGCCAGCGCGGACGGCTTTCACGGCCCGGGGGCCTGAGTGACTTGGGCGCGTGGCTTATGAATCCGCGGGGGTGACGTAGGTGAAACCCTGAAAAGAATGGGAAGGTATCAGTAGAAATGTGGGAAAGAGCACAGGTTTTGGAAAACTGGCCGTGGGTCAAAACCAATGGGATCCCATTTTGGGGTAGGTGTACCGCCCATTTTGGTTCTGTTTGAGTGGGGATTGGGAGGTTCACTGGGGCACGGGATTTTGACCCATGGCCATTTTCTGCCAGAATCAGAATCAAACAGCTAGGGTTTCGCAGGTGTTTTGGTCCTGGTTTCAGTCTTGCTGGGCTCCATTTACCAAGCTGCCATTTGGGTACGTTTATTTGAGCCACAGAGCCAGGATGGGATGCTGCGCTTCGCTTCGCTTCGGAGGCCACGTGGACTTCTCCTGCGAGCGGGAGATTGCGGAGCTGGAGGAGGAGGTGGGAGCCTGAGCGCCAGCGCAGGGAGCACGGCTGTGAGGAGAGGCTGGGAAGAAAAGAGGGGGTGCAGTTGCTCTTACTTATTTTATTTATATGTTCTTTGTTTGTTGGGCTCCCTTCTTCTTTGACCCCCCAACTTTTTTTTTTGACCGCTCTCTTTTTTTGACTCTGCATTACTTGAGTTTCACCCCTCTTCTGGAACCCCCCTTCTTGTTTTTTGACTCCCCCTCGCTTTTATCTGACCCCTGTCCACTTGACTGTCCACCCTCCACGCACTCTTTATATCCCGCCCCCCGGCGGCAGAGAGATGGAATTGCACCCCTATTTGAATCCTGACTTTTTCGGCCATCATGGGGGGGGCTGTTGTTGATATCTATGTTTATGTATGTATGTATGTCTAGGTATGTAGCTATTTAGCTATGTAGGTATGTAGGTAGGTATGTATGTCCGTATGCCTGTACGTGTGCGCTTCTTCCAGCATCATGGGGCTGAGATTGAAATGCAGGCCTGAAGCAGCACTTTTTTGACCATCACTGGGGGGTCCCCCTCCAAGGCATGGCAAGGCCCACACACCCTTGCGCTACCCTCGCTGGGGCGCGCCCGAGGGGCGAGTGACAAAGTTTTGGCAGGCGACACTCGTAATTCCGAGAATCAGGCGGCTCTATAGTCGCGGACTAAAACAACGCTAGCTGCTCGGGGCTAGCAAGCCAAACACACAGCGCACGCCGACTGGGTAACTTCAATAGCAAAACCCAGACAAGAACTGAGTGCACGTTGGAGGCCTGGCACGTTTTGTCTAGAATATGTTGCTCTTTCTTTTTCTTTTTCTTTTGCTCTTTCTTTTTCTTTTTGTTTTTCTCTGTCTCTTTCTCTTTCTCTTTCTCTTTTTTTCTCTTTCTCTTTCTCTTTCTCTTTCTCTTTTGCTCTTTCTCTGTCTCTTTCTCTCTCTCTCTCTCGCTCTCTCTCTCCCCCTCTTTCTCTTTCTCTTTCTCTCTCCCTCTTTCTCTTTCTCTTTCTCTTTCTCTTTCTCTTTCTCTTTCTCTTTCTCGTTCTCTTTTTCTTTCTCTTTCTCTTTCTCTTTCTCTTTCGCTTTCTCTTTCTCTTTCTCTTTACTGTTTATTTTTTTCAGAGATTGAGATGCACCCCTATTTGAATCATCGCTTTTTCGACCATCATGGCGGATTTAGAACTTTTGCAGAGACTAAAACACAACCCTAAAAGAATCATCACCCCCACACCCCCGAGCCCAAGCCGTGTTCGGGGCCAAAAGGCACGAGAGTCACTGCTGAAGAGCGTAAGAGTCCACACGTAGACTGCGACCAAGCGCCACACCGTATTCAACAACGAGGCGCCCCGCAGTTTGCTCGTGTTTCCAAGAGTCGACGTAGCCGCCGTGCAGACCCAAGAGCTGCGCGAAGGCACCGAGGCCAAAGCCTGGACAGGCCGCCTTGGACGGAGAACTTTTCCTCTGCCTGGACTTCGATGCCGTGCCCGAGGTGACCCCGGCGGGGTGGCTGCAAGGCACTATGTGAGCAACCGTCAAAACTCGCGTCAATGGAGATATGTATTCGGTGGACATCGGTTTTCCCAAAAGTGCAGATTCCTGTGGGAAACGATGGGGGCCCCCCAAAAACGATGCCCTTGTTTTGCATACATTAACTTTTGCAGAGTGAAGTTGCTTGCTTCGCTTGACCGTGGAGGTTCAAGCCGGAATGGAGACCCTCCAAACAACGGACACCTATTACATCAGGACTTGGCAGCTTCTGGCTGAAGAGAAACCATTGTCGGTTGCCGCTGTTTGAAGCTCCGGGTGGCCATGCTTGAAGCAAAACCATTTTTCAAAGAAGATGGGCGCCAAAGCGATGCCCAAAGCGATGCCCAAACGATGCCCTCAGCGATGCCCAAAGGTCACCAAGTTGAACAGTTGCCCATTTAGTTGCCAGACATGGAAGAAGCTGTCCGCAAGTATCAAAGAATACAGAGGGCGCAGAAAGCAGCAGCGAAGAAGAAGGCAGTGCTCCACAGAAAAAGGCAACGGCTACAAGGTTCTGAAACAAGCTCTGAAAGCAGTAGCTCCGACATTTCCGCCTCCGATGCGTGAAAGTGCGTGTGCAGTGCTCGCTCCTTGCCGTCCTTACCGCAAATCAAAGAAAGTTGTTGCAGGCCTACTCTCATCCCTTGTTGCTACTCTTACGAATGTTGAGTGCTGTTGTAGGCTGCCTTTAACCAGCTCTGCGCCCTGTCTTCCAGACCCGTAATTGAGCATACGTAAGAGCGATGCCCTGGAACAACCAAACGTGGAAACATGTGTGAAGCGATGGGGACCTCCCAAATTTGCGTTTAGACAGCCGCACACGTGGCAAGGCGTGCCCTCCACATAACCTTGCTTGGGCCACCCTCCCTGGGGCGCGCCACGTCACTTGAGTGGAAGGAGGGAAGAAGAGGCGCCGGTCGGACGGCTGTGGCGGCTTCTTGCAGCGCGGGCAGGGAAGGTCGCCTCCGCCAGCAGCGCGGCCACGAATTGGCATATGTTTTTGTAGAGTCATGAATCTTTTTCACATGTAAGGTTTAAAGTTTAAACTGTTGGTATGCCTCCAAAAAAGGCTCTTTCATCTCTGCCCAGAGGCCCGGAGAAGGCCTTGTCAACAAGACTAGGAACCGAGGTGGCGTCCGAGAACAGGCGAAGAAATCCCACATGAGGGCGCTGATCAACGTATGGTCACCAAGACCACGGATCTTCGCACCTCACCGCGAATGAGGCGCATCGGGCGGCTCAGGGGTGGCTCACAGAAAGCAACATGACACCTTGGCAAATGTCACCAAACACACAGCAGCTTACCGTTCCATTCGGCAAGCGGGCCAAGTCGGGCATGTGAGTGATGGGCCCTCAAGAGGTGATGTGGCAGAGTGCCAAGCCCATTACTTGACATTCTACTAAAAGGAAAATTACTGGACGGTTAAAAAGGGGTATGTGAGTGGATGCAATCCACACAGCAGTGGCACCAGTGCAGAATGTGTGCCAAGCAAGTGCATAGGAAGTGTGCGCTCAGTGGATTGCCATGTCCGCATTGTGAACTTGAGATATCCCATTGTCACCACAAGAAAAAGGAGTGCGAGCTTTTTTGAACTATGGGAGTGTGATATGTACGCATACTGCCTTATTCGTCGATGAACCCCTGTGTCACATAATGCTACACTATAGGCTGGCGTCTTTGGTTTGGCTCAAGAAATAAGTAAGCGGTCACCACTTTATTTGTGAGCCAACCAAAGTGAAAAAACAATGGTTTTTCAGCCAGCCTGTGAACTTGTATCATACCGCAGCATGGGCTGAGGTGGGTGGGTGTCTCCGTTCATTCGGTGCGCCATTTTGTCCCGCCCAGCCCGCCCTGAGTCATTCATATGCCATCCATGCAGCGGTGGCGCGGGGGTATGTGAGTGGATGCAATCCATACAGCAGTGGCACCAGTGCAGAATGTGTGCCAAGCAAGTGCATAGGAAGTGTGCGCTCAGTGGATTGCC